ACAAAATGTCTGGGCTGCCCAACAAGTCACATACACAATGATAGCTCAAAATAAGACTTCACTGCAGAATGCTCTTTTATCGTGGCCTCAAGGCCAGTCGTTCTCTGGTGGAAACTCCATCGGGAATGCACATGTTATCATTTGCCAAAGTGAAGGCAAATTCTTCAGCTTTTTCCCCAAGTCAACACGACAAACAATCGTCCCTAGGGGCTCCTGGTTTTAATACGAGCAAGGATGGTAGTAGGGGCTTCTGGCATCGCTACTAGGAACAAGAAGCTACTAGGGGCCAGCGTTCTTGCCATATTCTTGCAAGGCACATTCCGAAGAGTCTGACTCCCACTGGTGCAGGCTCGCAATCGCTCTGATGTTAAACAAAGGGGCCAAACAAATCTGAGTTCGGGTACACTTTCACAAGTCTTCTGCGCTCAATCAAAAGCCGACGTGCATTTCCTCCTGTCAAGGGGGGGGCAGTTCAAGGGTGGAGCGAGCCAGGCCGCCTGGCATGTGTAGTTACTATATCTTATTCTGAGTCATTCTGTCACAACCACCGTGGGAATAGGCAGTGTTCTTCGGCTTCTGGTCCATCTAAATCCATTTGATAGAAAAGCTCCGGGCTTATTTGCAGCAATTCTATTTGAGCTGGCCTTTGCCACTATGGAGATGGAACCTGCCTCCAGGTGCTCAGAATGTCAGATCTTAAAAAGTTAATGTGCGGATAGAAAAGGGCCCTCGGCCCACGTGACCAGGTGTGGGTAGAATCCGTTCAAAGATGGCGTCCTTTTGGTTCTTGATGTTTCTCCCATGCCCTCAAGAGGTCTTGAGTGCCCCTGAAACAGGCTCTTCTTGTATAGTTTTCCTGTAGATTCTGCTGGACGTTTGTTGACTGATAAAGCTCGAGGGGCAAGCGCCGTTCGCCAAAGGAGCTGTCCGCCTATAGGATCTTTTCAAGCATACTTTCTTGGCGCTAGCCGCTAGCAGCCATTTTATATTCAGCGCTGGTGAAACATTGTTTCCAAGGAGTCATCACATATAAGGTAGTATCTCCCAGGGCACAATCTTATCTTAAAGGGAGGCGTCACATTTCAAACATACAGTTTCCACAAGGTTTGTGTCTTTGGATGGTCTCATCAACCTTGCTGCTTTGCACAGGATACAGTTGCTGACGTCGTGCGGCAAGAGTTTCAAACGCATGTTCGTCCCAAAGCTTTTGCTTGGTGGCCAGATCTTCAGGTGAATCCTTTGGATGAGCAGTGTCACTGTACTTGGAGTCCGCCAACTGGCAATCATTGTCATTAGAAGCATCAAGTCAAGGAGGGAAATCGGATTCGCTTGTTGCTGACGCTTCCGCGCAATTCGTTAATGAATTGTTGCCATGGTTGACCACCGTACAGCCCCTGCCCAGGTGCGCCTGTGCAGGGGGTGCTCCTTTCAGCAAACAAAATGCACCGCTGATGTGAGGTTGGTGGCTGGTGTATTCAGCCAATATTGAACACATTTCCGGCGGGGTCTGATGCAAATATCGGGGAACATGACAAAGAATGCTGACCCCAGACCTACAACTTCATGATCATAGTCATAGCTGACAAGCACGGGTTCACACCTGGATTGAACATCCCGCTTGGGTGAGTTCAACGCCTGTGCAGGCTTTGATTGTATAGTCCATAGATCTTCTTTTGCAAATGACCTAACTCACTACGTCCACCATTTCCAGCTGATCCAACGCTCAAAGGGCGTCCATTTCCGGCTCTGGAAACCCAGACGTCCGGCGAGACGTCCGTTTCGAAGCGGTCTCGGACCCAACACCACCGGAAGCAGACACGACAAACACCACGGTGACACGGTGGGGTGAGACACACGGGGCGACCCTGGGCGGCGACCCTGGGCCTTCAACGAATCGGTTGGGTGAGTCTGTCTCAAGCGTTTTCCTGAAAGCTTGTCTCATGCGAAAGGAGAACCAGAGATAAAACCAAGGAAGCGGCTAAAGCATCCAAAGTCCAGACGGTTTGTATCCAACTCAGGTCCCTGAATTCAGCCCGACAGCATTGGAGTCTGTCTGCAGGCTTGGGGCAGAACTGTACTTTGATCTGTTGAAGCGCAAAAGGAATGTGAAGGAAAATCAATCAGCTTTGGTCACAGCAACATCCGCAAGTTGGGGTAGGCATTGCACATGAGTCGACAACAATCGAAGGGCGTCCACTTTTGCACATCTTTGTCATTCAATGCGGTGCGAGGGCCTACACGACCTTCGTCTGACCGTTGCCAAGAAAGCACCATCTTCACTTTGAGACCATCAAGCTAAACGTGTCTCGGGCGAACAAAAAAAGGCTGGATGGGAAACTGCCCTGGGTTTGCAGATGTACTGTATATATATATATGTATATGTTATAGATATTGCATGGTTCGACATTTGCATCAGGGAGTGGGAAAAGAGTTTGTATTTAGAAAACCAAACAGCTTTAGCCAACGTTGCATCCAGGAAGATCAGCATTTAGCCTGTTCTTTCATTGCTTGCAGCAACAGTAGACTTGGTTAGCAGCTTAGCAGCTCCTTTTTCTTGCTCAGTCCGAGTCAGGACCTTGGTAAGTTCACTGGCGAACAATGTAATACGCCTTCATCGCAATTTCTCAGGCTGACTCTCCAGTGGATGGGGAGCAAGCATGCGGAGCCCGGCCCTGCTCCTCTCCTCCATCTGGGCCGTTTGTCAAGTTCTGCTGGCTCAACAAACCAGGAGAGGGTGTGAGCACCTATAGCTATATAGCCCATAATGATCATAAGTGCTGAGACCTTAAAGACGATTTGGCTTCAGAGCACGTGTTTTTGACAACACAGTTTCAACGTGGCACATTAATGTGGCAACGCGGTTTGGGAGACTGTTGCTTTGGGAGACTGTTGCCATTAGAAGGGATATGTTCTTTTGCCAGCATAAGTTGAATGGTGCGTCAGAATTCCACAAGTTCCATGTCACATTCAGTAAACATGGTCCGCAGGGATCTCCATTCGTCTCGGAGCAATCCAACAGCTACTAAACATGACTCACGACGTGTCTTTGTAAGCGCTCGTCCCGGACACGTTTGCGAGGAGCGGCGAGCCGTTTGCACAGTCGGCCACTTCGTTCTCCGTCAGTGCCGAGGTGCTGGATGACCAGTGCTGAACGACTTGGAACTCCCACCTGCCAACCAGATGTGGCTGTGGAGGTCATCGCTGGGTTGAGGCCACGCAGAGGTGCGTCAGATCCAGAAGCGTCGCCACACTTCGATACCTTCGATCCAAAGAAATGGCGCGATGGCATCGGAAGCGCTTGGCGTATTTGAAACAGCAGTCCATCAGGGCCAGATCTTCAGATAAGGCAGGGTCAACGCAACAGAGCGGTTGCAAGTTGCAGCGTTACTTATCACTGCCCCAGTGCAGGGCCGGCTAAAACCACAAAGCATGTTGAAATGCAAACTGTGCGCCATAGGCAAACACTTGATTGCGCAAAGGATCGCGGAGCAAGCCGAACGTTTGCGTCGCCCAAAGGCTGCGGCAGCGCTGAACCTTGCTAAGTGGGGCTAGTCGATAAGGTTGCTGCTTCGTCAATGTGGGCAGGTATAATGGCATGCTCCGGCCAGGGTGGCGAAGCGCAACCTGAAGGTTCCAGAACTTGATCTCCATCCAAAAGCTCTGACTAACGTTGCCTTTGTGACGCTAGATTTGGGGATAACTCACTGCGTGCAGCGCTTCCAACCCTCTGCGCTGACTCCACCAATACTCAGTATGCTGGCTCCTTTGTTTGGCCCTGAATGACAACGATCTACTTCTCAAGTCAAAGGTGTCGAAGGCTGAATGCAAATAGTTGCTGGCGGCCTTGAATGAAGTCTGCCGATTTGATCTATTCTTGGAGTGCATGGTTACATGAAAGTCGGAAGTATTCTGCAAGACTTCCGGGAAGACAAACGAAACATCTAAGGTCCCACTAGACTTCTGGTACAACGGCCTGTGATGGAGCGCAGATCTAGTGCTTGCATGTTACGCGCCATCTACTGTCATGCAGGTTTTCCGGTAAGAATGTACAAGCAGCGGTCCATTGTACAAACTCACTGCCACTGCGCTAGGTACCTTCCGGTTCCTTTAGATCTGTCCTGCTGTCCTCCGAACTCTTCTTGGCCTTCTGGCACCACTCTGACCAAGCTCGACATCAAAGCTCACACCTGCCCCGGTGTGCGGGGAGTTTTATCAGATTGGCGACATTAGCATTGACTCGCGGGGTTGGTCGAATAGTTCTTTCACTTCCCATGACAACGCGAAATGACAGCTGCCCATGCTAGCTACCGAACCACAAGGAACTGATATATATATATATATGGTTTTCTTGAGCCAAAAGGGATAACAACGTGGGTCGATTTCCTTTGTCTTGAAACACTTTGAAATGGGATCATTGGAAAATATGTCTGACAAATATGATTCCATCTCCAAGTAGTTCAGCGAGGGGAAATTCCAGCATATCCCATACATGGAAACACACCAAGTGGGTCGACGTTTCCAGAAAAAGGCGCTGCGTGTTCCTCGCCTCTTGAACACATAGGATCAGTGTCAGTTGCCTTTTGACTCTTGTGGGGTTCCATTCAGGGGAAGGGACATTGCAGCCCACAGTGTCCATACATCAAAACACACTCCTTGTTCCAGTTCCAGTGGGGCACACTATGGAAAAGTCCGAATTGGGACATGTCACGCAGTTGCAAAACTCCAGGACGCTACTAGGAACTCAGGAAAACGGCCAGGCAGAAGCGCCAACATGGGGATGTTCACCGGCGGACCACATGGAAGCGGTCTCTCACCGCACTGGTTGCCAACAAAGGGCCTGAGATGTTACCGCACATTCATTGACTTCACATAATACTGTTATTTTTTCGCACTACGTACCAACCACCTTGAGTTTGTTGGCTCACTCAATATGCATGTGAGTGTTCTCATTGATTTACTTGCTCGTCCGCTGTATTCTGTATTCATTCAAAGTTAGGAGCTCCCGCATCGTTTTACAATGTTTCGTCAACAAACTCAAGGAACTAAGGAACTAAGTTGGACGTATCGAGGTATCGCTTTGTTGGACGTTCCGCGGAAAACCCCATTGTCACACTCTTGGATGAAATGCCCTTATACCCTGGGAGTCAAAGACCATAAACATAACGGTCTTTAGGTGACCCGAAGTCTAGGAATTTCCTGAACACTTCAGTCGGTCAAAAGATCGTCAGACTTCAGTCGGCAGGGTAAAGTCAATGACACCCATGTGAGGCGGGCCAACCGCATTGACAGCAGCGACGTCTCACCGTCCACGGGTTGCCAAGTCTCCGAGGCGTGGCTGTTTTTTTCAAGCGGTCGGCGAACGAGTCTAACGTCAGCGTTCATCTTTGGAAGCGCTAAAATCCATCCATCCCTGCACCAAACCAAGAGACGCTGTGTTTTTCCCCGGCGGTGATTTCAGCAAAGCCAAAAGCCTCTCTTGGACCCATCGGCATCTCATCCTCTTCGTCCTCGATCCCGTCCTCTCCACGGCTTCCTCGCTCGCTCCTCGCGGTGAGGTGAGGCTCTGCGGCGTTCGTGGCCGCGTCGGTCGTCGCGGCGTCGAGGCGCCGGACCTCGTGGGCATCGAGACTCGGTCGGTTCGCCGGATTCGGTCGGACGTAGCGATGCTCCGTTCGTAGCAAAAGGCATCGCTACTAGGAGCGATCGGACGCAACTAGGGGCTCCTGGCCTTACTACTAGTAACAAGGAAGCTACTAGTAGCAAGAATGCTCCGTTCGTAGCGATGCCAGGAGCCCCATTCGTCACGTCCTTGCTCCGTTCGTAGTGAGGCCAGGAGCCCCTAGTAGCTTCTTGTTCCTAATAGCACAAACAACCTCACCTGAATCTCTACGGAGTCTATACCTCCACCTTGAAAGGTTTCTTCGAACATCGTTCCTTGACCTTTCCACTCACCATCCCCACAAATATGTGGAATTCCGATTTTGTTTCCTCGGTGCCTGCTTCTTCGCGGTCATCAACGACCCTGCGCCGGGGCAATTCTGGTCGCGGCGCGGCTCGAGGCACTTCGGGTTGCGGCTCAGGTCGGGGTGCCTCCGCTGCAGGTCGGGGCATCCGCTTGGTCGCCGGCTTGGGCATGGCCTTCAGGTTGCTTCGATCAAGAAGATTGGGACATATTGGCCCCCAAAAAGCAACAGCATTCACTTTTTCATATCTTTTTGTCTTTGTGAGCCAAGAGTTTGGTCGATGGAACATCTTCGTCCGCCTTGGGCGCTGGAGGCTTCGTGCATCTCAGGCAGGCACCACAAGTGGTCTCACATTCTCCACAGGGACGGTCACAGGGATGGCCACACGGAAGATCCCGACCTCACCGACGGGGCACCGACACCACGCGGCGGGCGGGCGCTGTCGGCGGTGACGGTCGCGCAGTGGAGCAGCTCGCAACCGAGCGAAAAGAGCAGAAGCAGACTGAAGCAGAAGGCGGAAATAAATCATCACATCAGCATCAACCATCAGCAACCATGGTGTATTGGTATGTATCGATTGCAAAATTTGGAATTTCCGGATGACCCGTGACCCGTCTTTCTCACATGTCTGTCCCCAAGTAACGGTGAAAGTCACATCTTAAGGTGAAAAAGGACATCTCATCTCAACACACCCTAGTTTGCGGGCCTGATTGCGGTTATGGTAAAATAAGAGCTCTGAGCTATATAGGCGACTGAAATTCATTGGCCAAGACACCGCAAGGTTCATTGCACTCAGCCGGTTGATGTGGCATACACGCACTGCAGGTCTTCTTGCAAGTGTGACCGCCTCACACTCGGATGGCAGGGGAGAAAGACATTAACAAACCCTGACGGCAACGGACACGGTTATATACTCCAAACGTGCTCACCCCACTTCCTCCTCACTGACCACCTTGTTTGTGAGATCATTGCATCCCCCTGGACTCTACTGGCACCCGGCACATCACCCTGCGTGTTTTTTAGGTGGAATGTATCCATCGCGCATCGAAGTCTCCAGAGCATCAGCGCGACAATCCGAAGCTTCAGATCTCAAAGAATCTGCTCAAAGAATGCGAAGCCGAGATGCATGGCAACATTTCGCCGCAAGCCTCTTGACAGCGTGAAGCAATGTCCTCGTCTCGTTCCTGAAAAAGGCGGCCATGCACTCGCTGGGAGCATCCGAACTCGACGTCAAAGGGCGCTTTCAGAGGGAGCATTGAAGACCACTTGGTGTCCAATTCTGACGTGGTGACCAAACAATACGTGACCACTTCAGTGCAACATACGTGACCACTTCAGTGCGTTCGAACATCCCTCCCCTCCGGCCGGTGGATGAAGTTGAGGCAAAGGCTCGAGCTCGAGCGGTGACTGTTTCCCGTTGGTGATCTGGTTCTGCAACTCCTCTCGCTTCCCTTTCTCTCTTGATAGGTGGACACCCAAACATGGTGGACATGCTGGACATGGTAGGAGCAGTTGCAGGATCAGGTCCACAGTGTGAACTCTCAGTTGGGAGGGAACGTCACCGAACTTCGTGAACCCAGATCCTCCATGCATGTTTGGCCCAGATCCTCTATCAGCACCAGAAACCAAAACCAACACGCCATATTCACCAAGTTTCACCACAAAGGCCTTGCACTTCATGGGGTCTTCCTGTCGTTCGCTGGCCTCAGCGGTTGGCCGAAAAGGCGGTTTCACTGAATCGTGGCAGAACTACTGCAAAGGGTGCATACGACCTCTACAGAACATGCATATATGGGCGTGGATTTGGCTAGGAGACACCCAACCAATGAGTTTTGGTCTATTTTCCTTCTTCCAGGGGGTCGCACTGGGAGGTCTCCCTATTTCATTACACCCGTAATGAAGCATATGTAACCAGTGCGTTTTACTGCTCGCCCTTGATAGTTGCCCCATAGGAGAAACTTTTTTGAGAGGCCTATGCCATTATCTTTCCTCAGCCAGTGACATTAACAAACCCAAACAAGGAACAATCCTAGAGCCTTTGTCCACCTTAGTACTATATGGTACCTCACTGAAGGTCCACTCCGGCTTGTTACAGGTCATGATCTACAAAAACATGTGTGGGACTGTAAAAAGGCCAGCCAGTGGGAAGGATCCAAGTAGCCCACGCCGCGTCAGTCCCTGGAAGCGGAAATGAACTCATAAACACGACTGGGAAACAAATGGCTCGGATACCGAATTTTTCGAGCATCTATTTAGAATTTACCTATCCCAAAGTGAACCTCAATAGATAGAAAAGTTAAGAACCACTCCATACAGGCGACAATCGGTTTGTGCACATCGCACGCTGTGCGCACGCCCGCACTCTCCCTCTCCCTCTCTCTCTCTGTGAGCCCTTCAGCCAAAAGCGCGCGAAGGCCAAGGTGCATAGCACTTTCTTTGGCATCATGCACTTGCATGCTTCATGGCACTTCATACCACAAACATGTCCACAGTCCAGGTCCCTGATGCAGGGTTGGAGGCACTTGCATGGGTCGCAGCAGCGTTCTTCACACGCATGTCCACAAGACCTCGGTAAAAGGAAGTCGGTGCGAGAAAGAAAGCTGGACATGTAAGGGTCAGTTCCGGCCAACTGCTGAATCCCTCAAAACCTGGCCACAGGGACCTACTCATGAAGCCACGGCAGGCAGTTTTGCATCTTTGCTTTTGTTTCCGTGCTTCTTCCCCACAAAACCAGCCTTCCATTGAAACGGACGCCACTGGCGCGACGGGCGCGTTTCTTCCTGCAGCTCCAAGCTGCCCACAAGGCCGGCCGCAAAGCGCTCTGCAACTGGCGCTCGGACAACTCTCCCAGCACTTCTGTGGACATGGGTGCCCACCTTTTTCACCATTCTTTTCGGGAGGAAAAACCCAGGATTTTCGACCCAAAAACACCACGGTGAGACCACGGGTCGACCTGTTGGTTTCTACCGGTCGGACAGAATGGCGGGGGTTTGGGCGGTCCTTGTTGGTGCAACAAATGAGTCAAGAATGCCTTTTGAGCTTGTTGCTCTGCCACGTCATTTCCCACTCATGCTGGATAAAGAAAGGTAATATACCTAAATGTTTGGGTCATTGACCTTCATTGCGGAGGGCCACATTCATAGTTCATCCGGACGAGAATGCAGGCGCATATTAGCCAAGGACAAAGAATCAAAAATCATCCTAAATTTGACAGGTCACATTCCAGCTTTTTAGCACATGGCATCTGGCACTGCTTGGTGCAAGGATCACAACACTTCTCACCACAAGGATGCCCACAATCCAGTGGCCGACTACAACGAGATTCACATTGCATTGCAAGCTCTGCCTGGCTGGAATTGCATGCGCTTTGTATCTTGCGATGCGATTGTGGAAAGGCCGGGCAATCGAACAATTTCAGCACCCTGCAATCAGAGACCTTGCCACACTCTTCCGAGCACTTTTGGGGACACAAGTGCCCACAAGCCAGCTTTTTTGGGCATGGCATCTCGCACTGCTTCGTGCACGGATCACAACACTTCTCACCACAAGGATGCCCACAATCCAGTTGCCGACTACAACGAGATTCGCATTGCATCGCAAGCTCTGCCTGGTTGGAATTGCATGCGCTTTGTATCCTCCGATGCAAACGAGGAAAGGCCGGGCAATCGAACAATTTCAGCACCTTGCAATCAGAGACTTTGCCACACTCTTCCAAGCACTTGTTGGGACACAAGTGCCCACATTCCAGCAGCTTTTTGCAGCGTTTCTCACATCGGGTCGTGCATTCCTCGCTGCACAGCTCATTGCAATGATGTTTACAAGCCAACAACTTGCTGCATTTGGATTTGCATTTGGCAGCCACCTGCTGAGCAGAGGAATTGCATTCGCTCCAAATCTTCTTGTGATCGGGGCACACAGGGCAGTCAAAGCGTTTCAATATTTGACAGTCTCCGTCCTGCACGCACACTTGTGAACCTAGGCTGCGTATCACGAAAAGAGACACTTCAATTTTGAAATGGTCTCTGTTTGGTTGCCTAGTACATTTCACCCTTGAAGGCTCAAGCACGAAAATACACCAAAACACCGGGTGGTGTCCCTTCAACAAGTCAGGTCAGTCCCTCCACGGGTCAGTCACCGTTTTTCTCCGAGAAACACCGATTGGGACATTCATGTCCACATGCCAGTTGAGTGGGGCAACGGTTCGTGCAACCATTCACAAGTGACTCGGTGTTTTGCCCACACATCCGCTTGAGTGTGTGGCAACCACGCTTGCACCGCAGCTTTTCGATGAATGGGCACGGTTGACTCTCAGTTTCGATCCTGCAAGGTGTTTCAAAGACCTCAGCGAGCGGAAGCGACACCGTGATCTGAGGATCTGCTTCTGGCCTTGCTCTGCGCAATGCTTTCAATATATAGATGACGATTCCATTCTGAGCAAAAAGAGCCAGAAAGAAGGGGGTCTTCGCAAGGAGAGTATATACGGATTTGGGGCCAACCCTGAAAACCATCAGTTCTTTTGCCAGTTTGGACTGTACAGAGAGTCGTCTTTTGGCTGCGAATCTTTGACACCAAAACATGAAATCTTCGCATGCTGTGGTATTGGGCATGCGGTGTTTCACTTGTAAAGACATGGCTGCATAAATACCCAGTATACGCGCAGCAGTTTGTGTGAAGAAGTATCAAAATGAACCGCAGGCCAAAAAGGCATACAGTAGTTGTTGTCAACTGTACTTACCCCCCCAACACAGCCAACATGCATCCGGAAAAATCCATTTTCCAAAACAATTTCTCACCACAAACCAATGCTTTAACTATCTTTAGCTCCTCAATTCCAATTGAGTCAGAATCCGAGGCGCAGCAAACATTTCTCCAACTCCTTGGATTTTGTTTCCTTGTTCCAACTCTGCCACCCTACTCTGCCGCTTCGGCCTACCCACCAAGACCAAGGGGCGTGGGCCGGCGACTCGTGGCACTGATAGGTCTTCTGCACGGTATAGACGCACTTGTCAGCATGGTGACTCCCTTCGTCGGGGTGACATTGGCGCTTGCACACATGATCAGCAATCCCACAGCCGAAGGCCTTCCCGCACAGTTGCTTGCACACAAAGCCTGGGCTATGTGATCCGTGTGTGCGTCGGCCCAGGACGCACAATCCCCCCCAAATAGGTCTGAGCATCTTCCAGCATGGGTGCCTTAAAAAAACAACACAACACTGAAAGACCTGCAAGTGACCAACTTCATTTGCTTCCGTGGCAAAGTTCTGTATGTGAGGATGTCGCGGACATCTTTGCGGAAACTGGTCTCCAACGCATCCTCGTTCCTGTAGCATGTCCAACAGCTCTCTCCAGTGGTTGGCTGAACGCAAGCACTCCACATTGCCAATGAAATACAAGCCACACCTTGCTCTTGATTGCGCAACGCCTGGGATTTGGGGAGCTTCTTGGAAGAAGTCCAGTAGCTACATAGCTACTACCTACCTCCTTCCTAGCGGCCTACCCCCCCCCGGCGAAAAAATACTAGCAACCATTGTTACTACTAGTAACAGGTGCCACGCTAGCAATAACAAGTGCCTTACTAGTAGTAACAAAAAGCTATTAGAATTAAACTAAATTAATAGCTTCTTGTTACTACTAGTAAGGCACTTGTTACTACTAGCGTGGCACTTGTTTCTAGTAGCGAACCTTGTTACTACTAGTAAGGCACTTGTT